ACTTCGGGGATGGACAGACCTCCCTTTAGTAAAACGTGGTTTAGTGAAAACGACCTGAGGACCATAGCTGGCGGGCGCAAGCCTGGAAAGTAGCGGCCGCGGCGCCCTCTCGAGAACCGAAAACGGACAATTCACTAATCGACGTGTCACTGTTGGGGGCTCTGTCCACCCCCGGTCACTACCGAACTCTGGAATCTCACCAAGACACGTCACAAGACATCGACGGGACACCGACGGGAGACCCGCAGGACACCGACGGGACGCCGACGGGACACCGACGGTTATCACGAACGATCGCTTGGCCAGTGGTGCTGGCACTGAGAACAGTCTGGCGCTTCGGGTTCTCTGCGACGCCCCCTCCCCCCGAGTCTCTGTATGGCTACCAGCCCGGGCAGCATGGAGGCGCAATCGAAACACTACCAAGACACCATCGGGACACCCTCCGGGACAAACATCGGGACACCATCGGAGCACCATCCTCGTTATCGATCTCGTCATCTATCTCACCGGAAGACGCCACAGGACACCGACGGGACACCGACGGGACAGCTGCGGGACGCCGACTGGACACCGGAGGGAGACCACGGGATACCAGCGGGACACCAATCGATCTCATTGCCGATTTCATTCTCGATCTCATTATCGATTCCACGATCGATCTCACCACGAGACACCAACGGGACACCGACGGGACACCGACGGGACACCCACGGGACACCGACGGAACACCGACGGGGCACCACGGGAAACCGACGGGGAACCAACGGAACACCGACGGGACACCAAGACACCAAACTGTTCTCAATGTCGCCCTTCCTTTTTCCCTTTCCCCCTCTCCGCCTCCGCATGAGCCCCATCCTCGTGCACCCCTCAACACACGACCCGACATGCAACAACACACCAAAGAGAAGTTATCCTGGCTGTCCCGACAGAGGGCTCCACACCCGAGTTCACAAGGATTTTTCAGCACTCTGTCCGCTTGCCCCGTCTCCCTTGCCTCCCCGACCCTCCTGAACACCACAACTCCATGCGTCGACCTCCTGCGCCCTCACGCAATCGGGCAAGCCGTGAGGCAGAGGTTACACTCGCCCCGTCTAGCTGTCAGTGGTCGGCATGATGGCGGGCGCCTCTTGAATAAGGGCCAAGAGCAACCCTAGAGCACGCTCCCATGCTGGCGCTGCCAGGCAAACACAAGGAAGTGCAGCTTTAAGCTGGCTGGGCAGAGAGCAGGGTACAGGCAGCAGTAATCTAAACGAGAGGGCAAGGCGGCCAAGGAGAGCTGGCAAGGACTGAGCAGCGATGGCTGTCCAGTATTCGGACGAGTCTCGCCAAAATGTATATATGTCTCATCAGGGAGCATGATGAACGAAACTGGCAGATGGGATGTCGTATCGGAAAACCTCACTGGGGAGTCTCTCACTTCAGAAAGTGGGAGAGCATGAGCGGAGCACCTTTCCCGAGTGGGCTTTAGATACTGAAGGTATCTCCCCTCGTTTGCTCACCATGCACCCCCGTTTGCAAGTAGCCCCGGGAGGACACAGGCAAACAGACTGGAGCGGCCTCAAATACTGCTCTAGAGGAGAAACACTAGTCTCGCCAAGTAAAGGACAGCTTGTGGGTGCCAGGGTGCTCATGCACTCCATAGAAACGTCGGGCGCTCTACTCGGATGGCCACGGTGGCCTGGCGCAGTCATGAGGCCCCCCCGACCTCCCGGCCTCGTGGTGAGAAGGCACTTCGGAACCACCCTCGCGAAAAAAACTAGCAGTCGCCAGGACCAGTAGGTGTGCATCTAGCCTGCAACTGCGAGGATGAACGAGATGCAAGTCTAAAGCTCTCTGGACCACACCGCTTGTTCCACGGACACGGGCGCCGCGCACAAGGGGGGCAGGGGGAGGGGGGGGAGCTTCTTAAAGCACGCTTCTTAAACGACGCCGGCCTTACATTTGAAGATAAGGCCCGCGTCTGCTCAGAAGCAAGGTGCTTTTCATACCCCCCCCCGCCCTACCCCCCTCTTCAAGTGGCCGGCTCTGGACCACGCCGCTCGTTCCACGGATGGCTCTCGAGAGGCGGAGCGCCGACAGAAGCCGTGCAGGGCCGCGGCAACCACCAAAAACCGTGGCAACCACCAGACCGCATGCAGCGCACGAAGCGTCCAGCGCCCGGCCCCTTACGGGGGGGCGTGGCGGTTGTAAGATGCTTGGGCGCCGCTGAGTGGGGGGGCGCATGACAGGGGGAAGAAAGGTGCACGCTTCGGGCCCTGAAGGTCCCTTTCGGGCCCTGCAGGGCTTAGGGGGCCCTGGAAACGACAGGGCCGTTTTTTAACCGGTTCCGTTTTGCCGTTGTTTTGCCGTCTCCGACGCCGTTTTCTTACCGGTTCCGTCGCCGGTTTTTGACCGGTTCCGGCTCCCGTTCCGATCCTGGAGCCGTTTTTTTGCCGTTTCCCGGTCGCCGTTTTTTTGGCCGTTTCCATTTTCAATGGGCATTTTTTTGGGAAACGGTGAAAAAACGGCCCTGCCGTTTCCGGGGCCCACAAAGCTGCAGGGCTCCTCTGGGGGCCCAAAAAGGGCGCCTTTTCTGCAGCCCTCGCTGGCACGCACACCCCGCGCGAAGCGCCCAGCGCCCAGCGCCCCTATGAGGGGGGCGTGGCGGTTATATAAGACGAAGCCAGGACAATGACAAGTTCGAGGGAGGCGGAATACAGAATCTTCGAGATCCGGCGGCTCTGGAGGATGTCTCGGGCGCCGCGGCCTTCTCAGAGAGTTCGTGACCGCTCTGGATCGGATTTATCCTCGTCCTAGCCCCGTCCGATAAGATGGGGCGTGGTGTTCATAAGAAGCCTCTTCAGCATAGACTCTGGGCCCTGCGCAGACTGTGCCATCCTCTGGGGTGCGTTCGGGGTGAGCACACATCTGCCCCTCCTCGGCTCCAACACCTTCCTCGTCCACTTCTTCTCGGCGGCGAGTGAAGGGGGGAAAGAAGAAGGAGAAGGCCTTCTCAGAAGGCGGCGGCACTTCTCAAAAACCCCCGCGCCTTCTCAGAAGTTGTTTCTGTCTTCTGGGAAGGCTTAGAAAATTACACGTGAGAAAATCCCAATCGGTAGATGATTTGAAGACGAATACTATGGATCTTGATATCGATTGTGAGATCGATAATAGGATCGATAGTGTAATCAATCGCGAGGACGATTGTAGGGTCGATCGTGAGATCGAGAGTGGCATGGATTCAATGAGATCGATAGTGGGATCGATCGCGAGATCGCTCATGCGATCTCTTATGAAATCGCGTGTGAGGTCGATAGTGAGATCGATTGTGATATCGATAGAGAAATGGGTAATGAGCTCGATGGTGTGACCGATCGATAAGAGGATCGACCAAGAACCCGGGCACCTGGGAACCTCGCAACCCTCCGAAATCGGCCCGAACCCCGGAACCGGGAACCCAGGAACCCGGAACCGGGAACCCAGGAACCCAGCGTGCGACCAAAATCGGCGGGAAACTTTCGCCTAATCCTTCCAACTTCCGCGAGGACCCCTTCAGTGCAAGCAGTGATTGGGGAACTTCTCAGAAAGGCCAGGGGACTTCCGAACCTTCAAAGAAGACGTTCTCCTTCTCACTTTCCCCCCCTTTCTTCGCCGCTGATATTTTCCCCATCCGGCTTCAAGTCGGCCCTTCTAAAAGCCAAAGGGCTTGGTCGTTTCGAGTCTGGCACTGGGTCGGTCCGTGCGGCGAAATTCGGCCGCGAGATCTTCTGGACGCCTGCGCCTCTTGGGTACTCGCTCGACCGCAATACTTTCCCAATTGTACCTATGATTGCATAGTTTTCCTGGATACTTCCGGTTTAGGTGATTGAGGATGTTGTCAGGGGGGGAACGGGGGGAAACCATCATCGCACTCAATCGATCTCACTATCGATCTCACTCAACGGGACACCACGGGACACCACGGGACACTTGTTGATCTCACCATCGATATCACCATCGATCTCATTTAACGGGACACGACGGGACACCAGGGGCCACAATGGGACACCACGGGACACTGCTGGACACCTTTCGATCTCACGATCGGTCTCACTATCGATCTCACTCAACGGGACACCATAGGACACCACGAGACACCACGAAACACCTCGGGACACCACGTCGATCTCACTATCGATGTCACTGTCGATCTCACTCAACGGGGCACCACGGGACACCACGGGACACCCGGGAAACCGCCCGGCCCAACTCCCAGCCACCAGGGGACGGAGTTTCGCTCCCACTTCGGCCTAGCTACAGGAAGATCACGCGCAGCCTCGCCTCGCCCGCGCGCACGACACGAACACGAAACCGAAACCGATTTCCCGGTGGGGGTCTCCGTTTCATTGCGATCTCACCCCCCGACCTCGGACTATTCCTCTTCTCCTCCTCGTTTCCTTTTTCCCTTCACTCCCTTCACTCTGGATGATCCCCCTCCTTCTCTTGATGCACCTCCGAAGCCCCTCCCCATAAGACCCAGAAAATAACCAAACGATGACATATCCAATTCCTCTCACCCTCATCCTCCTCCTCTTCCTCTTCTTCCTCCTCCTCCTCGTCCTTCTACTCCCATACTTCCTTCACCATCCTCATCCGCTGCCTTTTTTTCCCGCCTCCTCGAGATTTTGCCAAGACGCAACTAGCAAGCCCAGGCTTTCCAGAAGACTTTCGATACGCAGCTGATAGGAAGCCCCCCGGGCCCGGAAAACTTCCATAACATCGCCCTGCTTGGAGCAATCCAAACCCGAGAACACGAGCAGGATTACACGGGGAGCACTGCGTGGGCTTCCCAAAAGACTCTCGAGACGCAGCTGATAGGGAGCCCGCCAGCACCGACGCGCTTTCAAAAGTTCACCGTGATTGGGGGAAACCCCACCCGAGAGCGCAAGACGGGACACCCGGGGAGCACTTTGGGACCATTGGGGGCCTGGCGGCTGCGGCATGCAGCCGCCAGTCGTCGAGGACGCGGGAGGAGGAGGAGGAGGAGGAGGAGGAGGAGGAGGAGGAGGAGGAAGAGGAGACGAGCGTACCCAGAGGTCTTCGTCCCACCTAGGCCAACCCTCCAGCCCACTCGGGCGGCGGGGCGGGCGGGGCATGCGCTCCTGGCTTGAGCTGCATGCCGTTCAGTGAAACGGCGGCGACAGCGTCGCGGCCAGAGGGCCGAGGACGCAGCAGCGCACCACGTGCGTCCGTCAGCGAGGGAGGAGGAGACGAGCAGGCATCAGCAACAGCAGCACTCGGGAGCGAAGGACAGGTGGAGAAGATACGTCCAGAAGAAATGACACGAGCAGGGATCGATCGAATTGGGATGCGAGGGCGAGAGGGGGTGGGCGAAAGGGCGGGCGGACGAAGAGGGGAAATGACCGTGGCACCAGCAGGGGTATGACCATCGAAGTCAGGGCCGTTCGACTGGCGGCCTTCACAAAGAGCCGGGCACTGCGTGTGAGCCCTGGGCGGGAAGTGGAGGGTCTGGACATGCGCAGAGCCATGTCTATGAAACACAGGGCAACAGAGAAGATCAGTCGTGAAAGCGTAGTGTGGGGAGGAACAAACAATATCTGACTGGGCAGAAACATCGCAAAAGGCGAGAACGGGTGGGAAAAGACGGGGGGAACCCTACTCCCCAGGGGGTCGTCCACGTCACTGACCCGCTGGGTGAGGTAGAAGTCGCTGGAGCAATCGGACCACGCGCGGAGGCTGGGGTCGAACACGCCACCGATGACGACAAACCGGTGGCCCGACTCGTGGAAGTAGGGGTCGGCAAATCAAATGGACCGCACGCCGTCTCCGAAGTCGACGAGATGTCGCCAGTCAGTCCAGCGCGTGGCGACGCACAGCCCGAACACGACAACGGGACTTGCGCACTAACGCCAGAGGCAAACTCGCCAGGGGCGAGGCGTCCCGAACGTGGCGACGTCGAGCCCGAACACGGCAACGGGACTTGCGATCGAACGCCAGGGGCCAGCAGGCCGTCGCCGAGGCGTCCGCAGAGTGGCGACGGCGAGCCCGAACACGACAACGGGACTTGCGATCTAACGCCCAACCGTGGGAGGCACCACGGCGAATCCAGCAGGAAAAGGCGATGGTGAGCCCGAACACGACAACGGGACTCGCGAACTAACGCCCTAGCAAGCGCCCGACGAGGAAAGCGACTTGCATCCAGCAGGTGGCGACGGTGAGCCCGACGCAAGCGACGGGACTTGCGTTCTAAGTGAGCACGAAGAGGCATAGGCTGGAACACGGCTTTGGCTCCTGCAGGGTTCTGAACAGGGCAAATTGAGGGTGCCCCCAACTCGTGGCGCGCTCGCCAACGTCATCGGCGTAGGGCTCGCAATAGTTGATGGGATAATAACCGCCGATGGCAGTCCTGCAGACGCGCCGTCAGCCAGTCTGCGATCTTCCTCACCTCCGCCAGGGCCCTCAGCAAGAACTGGACAGGACGGGCCTTCGTGGGGTGCACAACGCTCTGGGTCCGATGAGCTGGAGTCGGAAGACGTGCTGGAGTCGGACGAAGAGGAAAATACTATGAATGCGAGTGGGGCCGATGAGCACTCTCGGCGGTTGGATCCACTTCTGCAGCGCCCGCGAAGGACGCGAGCGACGCAGAGCCCGAACAGCAGCTGCCGCGAGCGATGAAAGAGTTCTGGGGATTATGGTTCCGCCGCGGTCCCTGGACATGCTGAAAATCTGGTAAGCGACAAGCATCTCCTCAAATCTCTCGAGCTTGGGCTCCGTGGGGCCCAATCGTGCTGGCAGTGAGGCAGGCAGGTCCCCACCGAGAGCTCGACCCGTGGCGTGACGGAGCCGCGGGCACACCAGGTAGTGCGCAAGTCGGCCATGCCGGCTGCACCCGTAGCGACAACCCACTAGGCCGGCTGGGTGTACAATGCGAGCAGACGTCAGCCACCCGTTGGTCCAAGTCCTGATCGCTGCCATGGCCCCTCTCTGCGGGAGGAGGCGCAAGAGCCCGCGGATCGTCTCCCAGTGGACACGACCCAGGAAGGGCTCGTAGTCGCACAGAACCCTGTTCAGGCATCGTTCGATGGCACGGCCAGAGCGCGCTCGGCAGCCAGAAGGCCCGAGAGAGTGTTGGCGACAGCACGTTGAGGTCGAGAACGCCGGTCATTGCAGGACAGCTCGGCAACGAGAGAGGATCGAGCGGCAACCATCCAGCCGTCAGAAGATCGAAAGAGCACGCCGTCGAGGTTCTCAACGAACGCAGGCGCCTTCCAGAAACTGGGGTACATGCGCGTCCGCATATTGGCGGAGAGCGGAATATCATCAAAATATCAGTCGGCAACTTCCTGCCGCCAGCCGATCGCCTTAGTCTTCATGAGGTCGAGGTAGGTCGGGAAGTCGCGGAAGGTGACGGCCGCCGCTCGAGGTATTGCAGCGGCGGCATGAGCGGCCCACGAGGGAAGACGAGGCCCGTCCCAAGCCTGAAGTTCAGGGACAGCTTCATTGCTGATCATGCCGATCGGGCACCTCAGGACCTGCGAGATAACGCCTCTCTCGAACGCGGGGAAGGAGGGCGGCATCGGGACAAACTGGGAAACATGAGAAAGGACAGAGTCAACTCGGGTACGGTACAGAGTGGAGTTGACGCTACTTGCTGCACCAGTGCGGCTGAGCATACGGCTTCTTGTGCGAACTTTGGCGAGGGGGTCACGCCAGCACCGTTCAAGGAGGAGGAGGGAGGAGGAGGAGGAGGAGGAGGGAGGGAGGAGGGAGGAGGAGGAGGAGGAGGAGGGGAGGAGGAGAGGAGGGGAGGAGGAGGAGGAGGAGGAGGAGGAGGAGGAGGAGGAGGAGGAGGAGGAGGAGGAGGAGGAGGAGGAGGAGGAGGAGGAGGAGGAGAAGGAGAAGGAGGAGGAGGAGGAGGAGGAGCTGGCGGGCGCAGTGTGCGAGGCGTGTCGGGAGCACCCGTCGGCAGACCCAGCAGCCCCGAGCTGTCTTCGGAGGGGCAGGTCGGAAGGACTCTGGGCTCCTCACCGTCCTCCGTCCTGAAGGGGGCCCGGGAGCACACAAAAAATACACACGAATAACAGAACTCGTTATGTTTTCCCATCTGTTCCTACCTTCTTCCTCTTCCCAGGTCTTCGGTATTCCCCTTCCTCTTCATCTTCCCATGCTTCCTACCTTTTCCTACCCTCTTCCTCTTCCCATGGTTTCCCATATTTTCCTGCCTTCTTCCTCTTCCCATATGTTCCTACATTATTATCCCTATGTTTTTTTTTCCCAGGTCTTCGTCTTCCCCCCCCCATTCCCATATGTTCCTACCTTTCTCGGGAGTCGACGGTTACTTGTGTCTGTGTGTGTTTTTCCCCTCGTGACTGAAGGGGCCCTGGGACACACACACACACACACACACACACACACACACACACACACACAAATACACACAAATAACAGTACTCCCCATATTTTCCCATATGTTCTGGGTGTTTGTCTTCACCCCCACTTCCCATAGTTTCCCATATTTCCCTGGGAGTCGACGATTACTTGTGTCTGTGTGTGTGTGTTTCTTCCCCTCCCGACGTCCGCAGCTGGCTGCGGCCTCCCGGCGCCAGGGGATCGCCCTCGGGGCTCCCCCGGCGCCTCTCGGTGCGGTGTCGCCCCTGCGGGGTGGCGGCTCAGTGCTTCTTCGGGGCGGCCACCTCGGCTCCCAGCAGTGTCGACGATGAGGACGACGACGACGACGACCATGACGACGACGACGACGCCCACGACGAGCACGACGACGACGACGACGCCCACGACGAGCACGACGACGACGACGACGCCCACGACGAGCACGACGATGACGACGACGCCCACGACGAGCACGACGATGACGACGACGCCCACGAGGAGCACGACAACGACGACGAGGAGCACGCCGACGCGCACCACGACGTGAAAACGACGACGACGACGAGCACAACGCCGAGCACGATTCTGAGTCCGACGACTCCGCCGGCGGCGACGCCGGCGGCCACCTTCGTTCCGAACGGCGCGTGCTTCCGCGACTGGTGGCTGTGGTTGGGCGCCCAGGTGGAGTTCATCTTCTCGGTGACCGAGACGCCCGTGGAGCTGCCGCTGCCGCCCCGGAGGTTCCCCTCGCGGGAGGGGCGCCGACTGTGCAGTGGCCCAGGGGCGCACAGACAACTAGACACACACATACCAGGACAGGAGAGCCCAGAATCGAATCGATAAGTCGGATCGGCGATCGAAATGAATCGGATCGGTGGAAATCGGCAGCCGAGTCGGGAAACGTCGAATCGGCAGACATCGGCAGGCTAGTAGGCCTCCAATAAGAGATCGGAGCCCAAGACGGAATCTCAAGTCGAATCGAATCGGAATCGGAAGCCATCGAAATCGAATCGAATCGAATCGGAGGAATCGAAACGAGCCCTGCCAGGACCCCCCGGTATCTTCTCATACTCCCTTGACCTCTCGCCGCTCCCCCCCCCCCCAGGTCCAAAAACTCCCTGTGCTTTCCTCGGGGGTCGACGGACCGTGTGTGGCTGTGTGCGCTGACCTCCTCTGGCAGCCGTGCGCCCACGGTGCCGATCCTGGCCGCGCCCCGCCCTGCGCGCCCGGCAGGCGGCGCGCACGCTCGAGCCTGCTCGGAGCTGGCACGCGAGAGGACCCGGGACTCCAAAGGCCCTCTCGGGGGACCTCGTCTGGCCCGTCGCGGCCCTATGCGCTTCGAATCCGTGTCGAACTCGTCGGGTCCGTGCCGAGTGCGTGTCGAGTCCGTGCCGAATGCGCGAAAAATCCGCGCCAGATCCGCGTCGAGCCCGCATCGAGCCCTGCGTCGGGCACAAGAGAAGACGCCGATTTGGGGGGGGCAGGCGAGGTCCCCCGAAGATGCCACGTAAGGCATGGGCCGCGAACACACAAGACAATGGGGTAAGATAAGACGAAGCCAGTACTCGGGGATGGACAGAACCCCCTTTAGTAAAACGTGGTTTAGTGAAAACGACCTGAGGCCCAAACCTGGCGGGCGCAACCCTGGAAAATAGCGGCCACGGCGCCCTCTCGAGAACCGAAAACGGACAATTCACTAATCGACGTGTCACTGTTGGGGGTTCTGTCCACCCCCGAAGTACGAGGACGCAATCGGACGAGGGCAAGTCGAGCATCTCGGAGCTCCGGCGGCTCTGGAAGATGTCCCGGGCGCCGCAGCCTTCTCAGAGCGTTCCAGACGCTCTGAGAGCCTGGAACAGGTTTATCCTCGTCCAAGCCCCGTTCAAC